TTAATGTGTTGCTGTATGCTGATTGCTAATATTTTGTAGAGGATTTTTGCATGTATGTTCATCAAGAATATTGGCCTGTTATTTTCTTTTTTTTTGTTGTGTCTTTATCTGGTTTTAGTATCAGAGTTCTGTTGGCTTCATAGAATGAGTTTGGGAGAATAGCTTCTGTCTCAATGTTTTGGAATAATTTGAGGAGAACTGGCATTAACTCCTCTTTAAAAGCTTGATAGAATTCAGCTGTAAAGCCATCCAGACCAGGACTTTTCTTTGTTGGGAGATTGCTGATTACCACTTCAATCTCATGTTCACATTGTTATTGGTCTGTTCACGTTTTCTATCTCTTCTTGGTTCAGTCTTGGTAGTTTGTATATGTCTAGAAAGTTATCCATATCTTCCAGATTTTCATATTTGTTGCATACAGTAATTTATAATAGTTTCTAATGATTCTTTGTATTTCTGTGGTATCAGTTGTAATGTCTCCCTTTTCATTTCTGATTTGTTATTTGGGTCTTCTCTCTTTTTTGTTAACGTAGCTAATGGTTTGTCTATTTTATTTATCATCTCAAAAAAACAACTTTTTGTTTCATTGATCTTTTCTATTTTTGGGGGGTCTCTATTTCATTTAGTTCTGCTCTGTTATTTTTGTCTACTACCTTTAGGATTGGACTTATTGCAATAAGTTTACCTCTTAGTACTGCTTTTGCAGTATCCCACAGTATATCTTTATTTTCATTAGTTTCAAGAAATGTTTTGATTTCCTGTTTAATTTTTTCTTTGACCATAGGTCATTCAGCAGCTTATCATTTAGTTTCCATGTATTTATATAGTTTCCAGGGTTTTGCTCATTATTATTTCCCAGTTTTAGTCCATTTGGTCTGAAAAGATACTTGGAATGATTTCAATTTTTTAAACTTGCTGAGGCTAGATTTGTGACCTTATATGTGGTCTATCCTGGAGAATGTTCCATCTGCTGATGAGAAGAAAGTATATTCTTTGGTCGTTGGATGAAATGTTCAGTATATATCTGCCTGGTCCAGTTGGTCTAATGTGTAGTTTAAATCCTGTGTCTCTTCATTGATTTGTTGCCTGGGAGATCTGTCTCATACTGAGAGACGGGTCTTCTGGTCCCCCACTATTAACATATTAGGGCCTATTTCTTTCTTCAGGTCTAAGAGTGTTTACTTTATATATCTGGGTGCTCCAGTATTGGGTGCATACATATTTATGATTATTATGTGTTCTAGCTGGATGGATCCTTTTATCATTATATAGTAGCCTTCTTTGTCTCTTCTTATGTTTTTTGGTTTAAAGTCTATTTTATGTGATATAAGAATAGCTACTCCTGCTCGTTTTTTGGTTTCTATTTGCATAGTATATTTTTTTCCATCCCTTCACTTTTAGTCTGTGTGTGTCTCTATATGTGAGGTGGGTCTCTTGAAGACAGCAATTACTTGGGTCTAGCTTTTTAATCCAGTCAGTCTATCTGCGTCTTTTGGAATGGGGAGTTTAATCCATTTACATTTATGGTAGTTATTGACAGGTATCTTATAATTCCTGTCTTTTAATTGCTTTTTTGTTTAGATGATTTAAATATCTTTTGATCATTACTTCCCCTTTTATTTCTCTTCTTCAATGTTAGTTGGAAATTTAAGGTGCAATGATTTAGCTTCTTTCTCTTTCTCACTGGCATTTTTGTTTTAGTGGCCAGTTTTTCTCTTTCTTGTGTATTCGTGATCGTGATCATCATGCTAGGCTGGCGGACCCCCACCCCAACCCCTCATGGGGAAATAGGGAGGACACCAGGGGCCTCCCACTTATTCCACACCTCTCATGTCTTTTCATCCTGCCAGACTAGAGTCAAGCTCAACAGGGTCTTCTTTCCTTGCTGATTCCACTGAGTCTGTTCCCTTGGCTGTGGTTTCACTGGGTAGTAGGTAGGGACAGTGGGAATCTCGTTCATCCATTCATGTGCATCACTAATTAGATGACAAGGCATTTTGCTACCTTAAGAGAGTCATAGTTACTCCTGCCATTTACCTGCGCATCATTGAATTTCTTCACTTTGACATTCAGAGCACTGGGCAGAAATCACATCGCGTCCACCCCCACTGTAGGCCTTCACGATTATCTGAATTTTTGATTCTAGCCACTCTAGTGGGTGTGAAATGGCATCTCATTATAGTTTTGATTTGTATTTTCCTGCTGACTAATGATGTTGAGGATCTTTTCATGTGCTTGTTGATCATTTGTTTATCTCCTTTGGAGAAATGTTTATTCAGATCCTTTGTTAATTTTTTAATTGGGTTATTTATCTTTTTATTATTGAATTCCAATTCAATAATAAGAGCTATTAGTAAGAGTTCTTAATAGTAAGAGTTCTTTATATATTCTCCCGTATCAGATACATATTTTGCAAACATATTCTCCTACTATGTAGGTTCTTTTTTCATTTTCTTGCCAGTAAACTTGGAAGAACAAATGTTTTTCATTTTGATAAAATCCATTTATCTTTTTTTCTTTTGTTGCTTGAGTTTTTGGTGCCATATCTAAGAATCCATTGCTATACCCAAGATTATGAAGGTTTACCTCTATGTTTTCTTCAAAGAGTTTTATAGTTTTAACTCTTATATTTAGGTCTTGGATCTATTTTGAGTTAAATTTTATATATGGTGTGAGATAAGGGCTCAACTTCATTCTTTTGCATGTGAAGCTGTCCCACCAGCATCATTTGTTGAAAAGACTATTCTTTCCCCATTTGATTATCTTGGCACCCTTGTTGCAAATCAATTAACCATAGATCTATGGGTTTATTTATGGACTATTAACTATATTCCATTGATGTATTGATCTATCTGTTTATAATTAGGCCAGTACTACACTTCATTACTATAGTCTTCATTACTATAGTTTTGTAGTGATTTTTGAAATTGGAAAGTATGAGTTCTCCAACTATGTTCTTATTCAAGATTATTTTGGCTATTCGTGGTCTCTTGCATTTTACTACGAATTTTGAGATCAACTTGTCCATTTCTGGAAAAAAAAAGGCAGCTGGAATTTCAATAGGGATTGCATTGAATCTATACATTAATTTGTGGAGTATTGCCATCTTGACAAGATTAAGTTCTCCAATCTGTGAACATGGGATGTCCTTCCATTTATTTGGGCCTTCTTTAATTCCCTTCAGCAGTGTTTTATAGTTTTCAGAGTATAAGTTTTGCACATCTTTTGTTAAATTTATTCCTAAATATTTTATTCTTTTTTATGCTATTTTAAATGGAAGTGGTTTCTTAATTTCATTTTCAGATTGTTCATTGCAAATGTATAGAAATACAATTTTTGTATATTGATCTTGTATCCTACAATGTTGCCGATCATTTATTAGTTCTAGGAGTTTTTAATAGATTTCTTTGTAGTTTTCTTATGTAAAATCATGTCATCTGCAGAGAGATAATTTCACTTCTTCCTTTCCATTTTGGACGCCTTTTATTTCATTTTATTACCTAATTTCCCTGGCTATAACCTCCAATTCAACGTTGAATTGAAGTAGTAAGAGCAATCATCCTTGTCTTGTTCCTAATTTTAGAAGCATCCAGTCTTTGACCATTAAGTGTGATATTAACTGTAGGTTTGTCATAGATGTCCTTTATCAAGGTTGAGTGCATTTATCATGAAAGGATATTGGATTTTACAAATGTTTTTTTCTGCATCTATTGAAATGATCATGTGTTTTTGTTTTTATTCTATTGATATAATGTTTTATATTCATTGATTTTCATGTGTTGAACTAACTTCGCATTTCTTGCAATTCCTGCTTTGTCATCGTGTATAATTCTTTTTATATTTTGCTGGATTCAGTTTGCCAGTATTTTATTGAGGACTTTTGCATCTACAGTCATAAGAGATATTGGCCTGTAGTTTTTCCTTCCTGCGATGCCTTTGGTTGAAAATTTTAAGAGGTAAAATACATTACCACATCCCAAAATGGGTCTTTTGTGCCTTTAGCCTTTCATTTGTTTCTAACTTTACCCTGATTTGTCTTAACATAATTTTCATCAACCTGGCTCCATTTCCATTCATAAGGCATTTCCATCTGGGTTTAGCAAGCTGGGGGGTGGGGAGGGGCATGTGGTACATAAGATGACTTTGAAAATAGAACAGATGTATCACAGAACTCTTGTGTGAAAGAGGAAGAGACATGGTGAATGAAAGTTTCCTGCATCTGGGCAGATCCTTGGTATTTTAAAACAAATCAAAATAAAAACACTAGCAAGAAATTTGGGCATGAAAGATCTTTTATTTATTTATTTATTTATTATTATTTTTTAAAAGATGGCCGGTAAGGGGATCTTAACCCTTGACTTGGTGTTGTCAGCACCACGCTCACCCAGTGAGCTAACCGGTCATCCCTATATGGGATCCAAACCCGGGGCCTTGGTGTTATCAGCACCACACTCTCCCGAGTGAGCCACGGGCCGGCCCCATGAAAGATCTTTTAAAGTCTCACCTTAATAATAGCAGGACTCTAGGCTTTCTTCCCATTCCCTAGGGTTGCCACTATTGAGTTATATACTTTAAATGGGTGAATTGTGTGGTATGTAAACCATATCTCAGTAAAACTGCTATATCAAAAAGAAATATGTTCATAATTTTAAAACGTTAAAATTACACAGAAGTACATAAAGTAAAAAATGAAAATCCTTCTCCTGTCCCTTCTGTTCCTTGGAGGGAACCACCACTAACAATTTGGTGGATATCCTTCCAGACTTTTTTCTTTGAACATAAACTATATATTTATGTAATATATGTATATATATTAAATGGGACCATACTACTCTTTATTTTTTTCACTTAGTATCTCATGGACAATTTTCTGTGTCAGCTCATATGCATCCCTGCCCTCCTTCTGAGGTATCTATGGTAGGCCATATTAAGAATATACACTTGTCTTCAGTTCCTATGGCCCTTAGGCTGCTTTTACAAGACCTTTTCTTTCTGTCCAGGTCCAAGGGCAACATGGGAATCAAAGCCATATCCCATGATAGCATCTTCATGTCGCAGCGTGAGCCTGAAAAATCAGCAAGTAAAATATGCCTCTCTTCAGAGCTTCAGAGAGGAAGACCTTGGCAGGTAATGGTGGACCTTAGCATCAGCGCCTAATTAGACTACACCTCTTACATTCCCTACTCCTACCCACCCCACCAAAAAAAAAAAAAAAAAAAAAAAGGAGACAAGAATTTGACCCTGTTTCTCAGCTGATTCTACCCTACAGGGCTGTTGTAAGCACTGAATGAGATAATGTATAAATACATGACGTGCTTGCATATTGCCCAGCACACAGTGTTGGCCAGTATTATCATATTCACTTCTCTTAACACACCTCAAGAATACTTTAATTATTTTAGTAGTGACATTTCACTGTTTATGCACTGGCATACCAACCTTCAAGTTTTTCTCTCTCTTCCACAGAGATCTCTTGTTTCCAGAACGGTGCCTAGAACTGTGACTAATATTGTGCGTGGATCTGCAGCTGTGCCCCAATATGTGCCCAGAAGTGGAATCTGGGTTGCAGGCTCCACAATCACTAAGGTAAGAGTAGAATTGTTCAGAGCATGGGCAGCTGAGCCAGACAGATATATCTATACTTGAAGTCTTACTCTGCTACTTACTGGCAGTGTGACCCTGGGCTAGTTGCTTAACCTCTCCGGGCCTTTCTTTCCTCATCTACAATGGGTATAATATTAATATCTACCCCAAAGGGTTGCTTGTGAAGATTGAATGAAGACTTAGAGAGGTTAAAGAAATTGCTCCATCTCACCCAGGTAATAAGTTGTAGACTTGGAAATCTGACCCAGGTGTGTTGATCTCAAAACTCATGGTCTTTCCATTACCCCAGTCTCTAAGATGCCTAACTTCTTTGTACCTGCCTGGACAAGGAGAAGGGTACACCTTTAGCCTCCATAAAATGCAGTGTGTACATAGGACAATCTCTTCCCTCTAGCTAATCCTAAACATATGGGAGGTATCCATTGCTCAGTCAGATTTTCTGGAATTGTGATCCAGAAATGCTCCAGGGGAAGCTGGAGATATTGCCAGGGAGACAACCCTTAGCAGCTGTGGATGGGATTATGCACAAAGATCCCTGTGAAACTGCGAAGGCTATACAAGCAGAAGACCCTTCTCCACTGGAAAGCTGATTATTTTGCATATAGCAAAAGGTAAATGGGGCTTATATCTGACATGTCTGCTTAAGACCCCACATCTCTCACTCTGTACTATGTGTAGGAGTTCTGGGTCCATTAGCCATGCAGGCTGGAGAAGAAAACACTGAGATAGTCACCAATGGTGCTGACCCTATGGTTGTAAAGTAGCCCCTAGGGTCAGCAGATTGTTGCTCTCTTGCACTACAGCAGGAAAAGCCACTTCCATGAATGTTTCAGTCTTCAATTGTAAACATCAACACCAGCTTTCACTTGCCTCCAGGGCTACACTCCCTGCCACCTCATGATCATGATCAAGTGCCACCTGCTTCCAGAACTCCTCCCTATTTTCCTCCTAGTCCCAGCAACAGAGAGACTCTCACAGCAGAGATACTCCATTTAAAAAAGATTCATTTTTTGTGTGAAAATTAAAGGAAAAGATTCTAGGGGAATAACTTCTCACGATGAAGGGGATGAGGAAAGCCACAATAGCCCAAAAGCAAGTTTTCTTAAATGTTTGGTTTGGGCCCCCACCTCACACCTTTTGCCTAATCCCTTAGTCATTCTCCTGGGAAACAGGGCTGAAAACAGCATAGGATGTTAGTAGGACCTGAGTCTTTAACAATTAGATTGACTTTTGCATGGGAAATGTCCCTTAAGTGCCAAGGTGACAACCCCAAGTGGCAGTGTAGTTGATAGCATTAAGTCAAGGGTCCTGACACCCGGTGCTACATAGAAGCTGGGGCAAGTATGGAATTTGCCAGTGGTTGGGTCCCTTGAAGGGGCAGGATTCTTAATGGATTAAGTGACATTCAGAGCACCTAGGAGATTGTGAAAAAGGAAATTCAGGTATACAGTTGTGTCAGAAATACCAAGTCTGAGCCAGTTTTATTTCCTGCCAGATTTTCACCTGATGTCCTATCTGAAGTGTTAGGAATGTGGATGCCTAGATTACTCTCCAAAACATTTTATGTTCTCCTTATTTGAGCACAAATTGTTAAGAAGATGCAAAAGCAGATTATTAGCATCTTCCTGTTAAATCAAACTGAGTTCAGTCACTTGAGAAACCGAGACTGCAAAGCAGTTTTTCTTACTGCTCACAGGCTGACTCTCCCTCTGCAGCCCTTCTTAAGGAAATAGGCACATGATCTGTTCTGGTTGTTGCCTTTAAACCTCCTGAACTTGTCCTTCGGTATAGGAACTCCCCTTCCTGGCCTGATAGTTAGGAGACAGGAGTGCCCAATAGTTAAGAACATGCTGTCAGTCTGGGCAGACTTTTCAAATGCTTGCTTTGCCACTGGGAGAATTAGGGCTGGTTACATCATCTCTCAAACTTCATTTTTCCCATCTGTAAAATGAACACCACAATAGCAAATGCCTCAAAGAATTGTTGTGTGGTTTAGATGTGGCCAAGCTCCCTCACCTCTTATCGGACTGAGCATGACTCAGCATGTCTTGTAAATATGCTATGTAAGAGTAGTATAACTGCGCATGTGCAGGTTAGGGCATGTAGTAGTGTTTGACAGACACATATCCATATGAAAAAGAAGTTGACACATGAGAAGGCAAATGTGTATATTTCATATGTCTAGGTTTGTCGACCAAATAATATCCATCAACAATTGGCAAATTAGTAGATTGTGCCCATATTAACACTTCCATTATCAAACTAATGTGTGTTTAATTTCATTGGTGATTGTTGAAACTGAAAGGGCTTTTGAAGTGAAATAGAGTTTAGAGCAATGAAACTTGGGAACTAAAAAGTAAACAGAAACATAATTTTTCATGAAGATAATTGTCCAGTGAGAACAAAACTCTGTTTTGATGTTAAAAGATCCTATGGGGGAAGCAACCTTCAGTTAGATATGTCAACAAAAAATCACTTAGTTTAGGACTAAAGTTAAAGCACAGACTGGTAGTAGGTGTGACTATAAGTATTTTCTGCAGAATGCCGCTAAATCAGACTAATTGGGATGGAAAGTCTGAGCTGGTGGAAGGATTTAATTAGATAACATTTTTTTATTGTGGGAAAATACAGAAAACATAAAATTTACCATTTTAACCATTTTAAAGTATACAATTCAGCGGCATTACAGACATTTACAATGTTATGCAATCATCACCACTATCTAGTTCCAGACTTATTTGGTTCTCCCAAATGGAAACCCAGTACCTATTAGGTAGTCACTCACCATTCCTATCTCCCATCAGCCCCTGATGACAACTAATCTGCTTTCTGTCTCTGGATTTGCCTGTTATGGATTTTTCATATAAATGGAATCATAAAAGTGGCCTTTGTGTCTGGCCTCTTTCACTTAGCATAATGTTTTTGAGGTTCATCCATGTTGTAGCATGTATTAGTACATCATTCCTATTTATGGCTGAATAATACTCCATTGTATGGATGTACCACATTTTGTTTAGCCATTCATCTATTGATGGACATTTGTGTTCTGTCTACCTGTTGGCTATTGTGAACAGTGCTACTATGAACATCTATGTAAAAGGTTTTGTTTGAACACCTACTGCCAATTTATTTGGGTATATATCTAGGAATGGAATTGATGGGTCATGTGGTTATTCTATATTTAACTTTTTGAGGAATGGCCTAACTGTTATCCCCAGCAGCTATGCACTTTATATTACACTCCCACAAGCAACATATGAAGGTTCCAGTCTCTCAACATCCTGGCCTACACTTGTTAACTTGTTATTTTCCTTTTCTGTTTTTTAAAAAAATTATGGTCATGCTAGTGGGTGTGAAGTAGTATCTCATTGTGGTTTTGATTTACATTTCCGTGGTGACTAATGATGCTAAGCATATTTTCATGTGTTTGTTGGCCATTTGTGTATCTTCTTTGGAGGAATGTCTGTTTATTAATTGGGTTGTTTATCATTTTGCTGTTGAGTTGTAAGGGTTCTTTATATATTCTGAATACTAAACCCTGATCAGATATATGATTTGCAAATATATATATTAGCAAAATCTGTGAATTGTCTTTTAACTCTCTAGCTAGTGTCCTTTGATGAATACATTTAAAATATTTTTTGATGAAGTCCAATTTGTCTATTTTTTCTTTTGGTACTTGTGCTTTTGGTGCCATATCTAATCACCAGATCTAAGATCATGAAAATTTATGTCTATATTTTCTTCTAAGAATTTTATAGTTTTGACTCATATTTACATCTTTGGTCCATTTTGAGTTATTTTTAAATGGTATGAGATAAAGAGTTCAAATTTGCTCTTTTGCACATGGATGCAGTTGCCCCAGCACCATTTGTTGAAAAGACTATTCTTTACCCATTGAATTGTCCTGGCACCCTTGTTGAAAATCAAAATCAATTGGCCATAGATGAATGGACTTATTTCTGGACTCTTAATTCTATTCCATTCATCTGTCTATCCTTATACTAGTACCATACTGTTTTGATTACTGTAGTTTTGTAGTAAGTTTTAAAATTGGAAAGTATTAAGTATTCCAATTTTGTTCTTCACTTTAATATTGTTATGACTACTCAGGGTCTCTTGTAATTCCATATGAATTTTATAACCAGCTTTTCCTTATCTTCAAAAAGGCCTGTTGGGATTTTGATAGAGATTACATTGAATTTATAGATCATTTGAGGGAGTGTCATCATCTTACAATTAAGTTTTCCAATCTATGAACATGGGATGTCTTTCTATTTATTTAGGTCTTTTTACATTTCTTTTATCAATGTTTTGTAGTTTACAGTGTACAAGTCTTATGCCTCCCTGGTTAAATTTTTTAAGTATTTTATTCTTTTTGATGCTATTGTAATGGAAGTTTTTTGTTTTTTTTTAATTTCCTTTTGGATTGTTTATTTGTAGTGCATGGAAATACAACTGATTTTTGTGTGTTGATCTTGTATCTTCAGCTTTGATGAATTCATGTATTAGTTCTAATAGATTTATGGGAATTGTTGAGAATTTTCTCTATGTATGATTGTGTTATTTGTAAATGGAGATAGTTTTACATGTCCCTTTATAATTTGAATACATTTTTTTTCCTTTTTATTGTGTAATTGCTCTGTCTATAACTTCTAGTAGACTATTGAATAGAAGTGGTGAGAGTAGACATCTTCATCTTGTTCTTGATCTTGGCAGAAAGCTTTCAGTCTTTCACCATTAAGTATGGTGTTAGCTGTGGGTCTTTTATATATACCTTCTATTCCTAGTTTGTGAAGTGTTTTTATATCATAAAAGGTTGTTGAATTTTGTCAAATGCTTTTTCTGCATCAATTGGGAAGATCATGCAATATTTTCCTTAATTCTATTAATGTGCCCTATTATATTGAATGATTTTCATATATTGAACCATACTTGCAATCCTTGGATAAATCCCAATTATTCATGATGTATAATCAACT